GATCTGGAGAAGGGCATGGCAACCCACTCCAGTGTTCTTTTGTTCTTTGCAGTTGAGCTCCTTTTCCTGACAACCCCCGCAGCCACCCTTCCTATTTTTAGTACATGTGCTGCCAAAGCGAGCCCGCAACCACCCTTCCTTACTCCAGTATTCTTGCCTGGAGAATCCCATGGACAGAGGAGCCTGGCACCTACAGTCCATGGGATTGAAAAGTTTCGCACGGGACAGAGTGACTGACACTTTCACTTTTTTCATAGTTATTTACAGTGTTGTGTTAGTTTCAGGTGTAGGCACAGCGATTCAGTTATGCACGTATATATTCCTTTATATACACACATTCTTTTCCAGCCTCTTCTCCCTTATAGGTTACTGTTGACACAGACATTGAGTTGAGTCCCCGGTGCTGTCCAGTAGCTCCTTCTTGTTCACCTATTTTTTATTGTAATTCCTCCCTCTTTTCTGGCTTCACTGTGTGACATGCAGGATCTTAGCTCCCCGATCCAACCTGTGCCACCTGCAGTGGAAGCGTGGCGTCCTAACCACTGGACCACCAGGGAGGTCCCTGTTTGCCTGTCTTACAGATGGCAGTAAGTATCTGTTAATCCCAAACTCCCAGCTCGTCTCCCCCCACCACCTGCTATCCCCTTTGGTAACCGCATGTTCGGTTTCTATGTGAGTATTTCTGTTCTGTAAATAGGTTCATTTGGACCAAGTGATTCTTTGCTGAAGTGGGGGAGGAGAGAGCTGTCCTATGCATTAACCACTAGATGTCACTAGCATGATGCCCCATCCAATTGTGGGACAACCAGAAAATGTCTTCAGACGTTGCCGGATGCCCCCGGGGAGGGGACAGAATCACCCCCAGTCAACAACTGTTGGGTTACATCATTCAGGGACTAAGAGGGAAAGATAGACTTGGGTGCACAGATACCTCTTTATAATGCTGGAGAAGACTCTTGAGAGTCCCTTGGACGGCAAGATCAAACCAGTCAGTCCTCAAGGAAATCAGTTCATTGGAAGGACTGATGCTGAAGCTGAAGCTCCAATACTTTGGCCAACTGATGTGAAGAACTGACTCGTTAGAAAAGACCCTGATGCTGGGAAAGATTGAAGGCGGGAGGAGAAGGGGACGACAGCGGATGAGATGGTTGGATGGCATCACTGACTCACTGGACATGATTCTGAGCAAACTCTGGGAGGTAGTGAAGGACAGGGGAGCCTGGTGTGCTACAGTTCATGGGGTTGCAGAGAGTCTGACATGACTGAAGCAGCTTAGCATGCACACAAAATGAGCGCAGGACTTAAGACAGCCCAATTAGACGAACAAAAGAGAAGCACTTTTCTCTCCCTCACTGGAAAACACACACACACACGCACACACTCACGTGAAAACAAGTGGCCCAAACTGGCTGTGGTAGCCACCTCCTGACCCTCCACCAAAGCGATTGCATTAGGTTCCTCCAACCTCTGTAACAAATAGCATCACCTTGATGACTTGTTCAGTCGCTAAGTCGTTTCCAACTCTTTGTGACCCCATGGACTGCAGCACATCAGGCTTCCCTGTCCTTCACCAACTCCCAGAGTTTTCTCAAACTCATGTCCATCTAGTAGGTGATGCCATCCGACCATCTCACCCTCTGTGGTCCCCTTCTCCTCCCGCCTTCAATCTTTCCCAGCATCAGGGTCTCTTCCAATGAGTCAGCTCTTGGCATCAGGTGGCCAAAGTATTGGAGCTTCAGCATCAGTCCTTCCAAAGAATATCTGGGGTTGATTTCCTTAGGACTGACTTGAGGCCGGAAGCCCAAATTCAAGTTGCCAGAGCCGGGGGCGGGGGTGAGGTGGGGGAACACACCCTCAGAGGCTTGTGTCTTTTTTAGCTCCTGGGGCTCCAGCCGCTCCTCAGCTGGGGCGGCGCGCTCCGTGTCTCTGCCCGCCTCCCCTCATCTCCCCCCTCTGCTGTCTTCTCTTTTGAGGACGATTGTTGGAGCTAGGCTCTGCCCGATAAATCTAGGACAGTCTCATCTCGAGATCCTTAATTACATCTGCAAAAGCCTTTTTCCGTGGACTTCCCTGGCGTCCAGTGGTTACGACTTCACCTTCCAATGCAGGGGGTTGGGGTTTGATCCCTGGTCAGGGAGCTAAGACCCCACATACCTCGGGGACAAAAAACCAGAACACAAAAAACAGAAGCAATATCGTAACAAACTTAATAAAAACTTTAAAAGTGCTCCACATCAAAAACAATCTTAAAAAAAACTCTTTTTCCGAATTGGCTCCATTCAGAGGTACGGGGGGAGGGACAGATGTACCTTTTAGGGGAAGCACCTCTGCTCTACCGGCCACAGAGCCCTGCCTCGGGGTGATGTCAGTAATTGTCGACTCCCGCCTTGCAGGAGGAATCCTCAGGATGTTGTTGAACCCAAAGCCTGCCACACCCATGGGCTTGTACTTCTGTGAAATGGAATTCCTTCTGGCTTTTGGCTGGGGTGAAGGTGAGATCAGCTTAAACCCTTTTTTTAAAAACTGGAATATAATTGCTTTACAACGGGGTGTCAGTTTGTGCTGTTCAGCAACGTGAATCAGATATACATATATCCCTCCCTCCGGAGCCTCCCTCCACCCCCATCCCGCCCTCTGGGTCATCACAGAGTGCTGAGCTGAGCTCCCTCTCTACACAGCGGCTTCCCACTAGCCATCTACTTTACACGTGGTCGTGTGCACGCGTCAGTTCAGCTTAACCCTTTCATGTCCCGAGATCGGCAGCCCAAACCGTCCCGACACAGCTCCCGAGCCCCAAAGGGCAGCATGAAGGATGTGACCCCGGCCTGGTCTCCAGTGGCGAAGAGCCCACCCGAGCACCCCGTCCACAGCGGGTCCGTGCATGACTTTGCCACCGTCTGCTCTCTGGGCTCCTTCTGCATGTTTGGGTTTTGTTTTGCCCCATCTTGTTGTAGATCGGTTTGATTGTCTTCCGTCTGTCTGAAGGTTTGTGAACCACCTCAAAGCCTTCAGAGAAGCAGCCAAGGGTGAAGCTGATGTGTGACTCAACGCTTGTGGTCTTCGGGGTTTCTCAGTTTCAGAAAGGAAGCGGATGTTGGTTGTGAAGGTTTGTGGTTAGCATCAGCCGTGAGCCGCAGGTTGCTTGCATGTACGTAACAGACAAATCTCCGTGCGGTCAGAGGTTCTCATGGACATTTGGACCTATAACCCTCCCCCAGAAGGAGAGTGGGCTGTGCAGACTCTGAATTCCAACCCCTCTTCTTGCTAACACAGCCCAATTTTTTTTTTTTTGAAAGCAGATAGTGGGGAGTTTGTGCTTTTAAAAATCTGTTCTTTTCAGTTGATTTGCTTGCAAACAACCCTGGTGAAGCTGATTCTTCTTAATTTAAGCAGAAAGGATTTTTGCTTAACGATTTTGAAAAGAACAGTGTGGTCAGCAGAAAAGTGGGTGCCCCCCAAGGTGTTCCTAATCCACAGAAACTTCCACTTTATATGGCAGAGGGGGAGCGAGGTGGATGATGGGTTCAAGTTCCTAACAGCTGACTTCAAAGGAGGAAGATGATCCTGGATTGTCTGGATGGGCCAAGCGATAACAAGAGTCCCAGAGAAGACTCTTGAGAGTCCTTGGACTGCAAGGAGATCAAACCAGTCAATCCTCAAGGAAATCAACTCTTAGTATTCATTGCAATGACTGATGCTGAAGCTGAAGCTCCGATACTTTGGCCACCTGATGCGAAGAGCTGACTCATTGGAAAAGACCCTGATGCTGGGAAAGATTGAGGGCAGGAGGAGAAGGGGGAGACAGAGGATGAGATGGTTGTGTTGCAGGAAGGGGGACCCCTTCCAGGGCCCGAAACTGGGCTCTTGTCTAACACTTGGAAATGAATTGTCCGAGGAGACACATGTGCCGACAAAGCAAGAGATTTTGTTGGGAAAGGGCACCCGGGTGGAGAGCAGGAGGGTAAGGGAACCCGGGAGAACTGCTCTGCCGCGTGGCTCGCAGTCTTGGGTTTTATGGTGATGGGATTAGTTTCCAGGTGGTCTTTGGCCGATCATTCTAAATGAGTCTTTCCTGGTGTCGCACGCATCGCATTGCTCTGCCAAGATGGATGCTAGCGAGACGGATTCTGGGAAGTGGACGGACACACGGTGTCTCCTTTGACCTTTCCCGAACTCTGGTTGGTGGTGGCTTATCAGTTCCATATTCCTCATCAGGATCTCCTGTCATAAAACAACTCATGCAAATGGTTACTATGGTGCCTGGCCAGGGTGGGCGGTTTCAATCAGTGTGCTTCCCCTAACAGTTGGATGGCATCACCGACTCAATGAACATGAGTTTGAGCAAGCTCTGGGAGATAGGGAAGGACAGGGAGGCCTGGGTGCTGCAGTCCATGGGGTCTCAAAGAGTCGGATAGGCTGATCGACTGAACAACAACTTCTGCACTGGCAGGCAGATTCTTTCCCACTGAGCCAGCAGGGAAGCCCCACCAATGTACTTTTCCCCTTTCTTTTTAAGACGTTAATTTATTTGGCTTTATCAGGTCTTGGTTGTGGCACGTGGGGTCTAGTTTCCTGATCACAGGTGGAACCCAGGATTCTCCTGCATTGGGAGCTCAGAGTCTTAGCCATTGGACCACCAGGGAAGTCCCCAACGTACTTTCTGACTCTATGGATTTCACTCACCCATTGGGGTTTTGATCTGTGAGCCCCTAATGAATGTAGGGGCTGCCGGAAGCAGCAGAACACAGATGATGCCTCACGAGGCAGACTCGCTGGGACTCTGGGCTGGCGGCAGCAGATAAGCCAGGCTCCTCGGAGCTTGTGTGCAAGTCACACTACGGAGGGGACGGCTCCGGCTCCATGACTGCCACCTAGGGAAAGCCAGGCTGACGTGGGAGGGTGGAGCGGGCCCTTCACCCCCGCCGTCGCATCCCGTGTCCGGCTCCCGTCCTCCCAAGGCATCCCTCCTGGGCTGCAGAGCCCAGGGCAGGCGAGGAACCATGTCCCCAGCCCTGGCTGCCCTCTTCTGCCTTGGTGAGTCATTCTGGAAAATGCTGAGGGACAGGCAGTGGGCTAGGAGACAAAGGATTTTTTTTAAATTGCACCAGGGCAGGAGGTAACTTTCAGGGCAAGAGGTGACCTACAAGCATCACCTCACTTATTTGTTGGGTGGGAAAACTGGGACCCAGGGGGAGGCTGCTTGTATGAATTATTCTAGTTTATTCGTGGCTGGGTCGAGAAATGAATAGAGGTCTCAGAGTGTTGGGTTGCAACCTTCTGCTATGCCATATTGTTTTGTTTTTAATTAACTAATTAATTAAAGTCTAGTTGATTTACAATGTTGTGTTAGTTTCAGTTAGTGTCACAGCAAAGTGAATCACACATTTATATTATATATATCATATATACAACCACACACATATATAATATATATTCAGGTTCTTTTCCCTTAGAGGTTATTACAAAATATTGAGCAGCGTTTCCTGTACTCTATTACTATAGAGTATTATAATTTTTAATTTTGTTTGAGGTGTTTTGATATCAGTGCTAGATTATAGATTTAGCTTGTCAATATCCCTTATGGTTCTGGTGCCAACAATTTTGCTGTTTGTGACAATGTGATTGGACCTTGAGGGTATTACGCTAAGTGATATATGCCAGATAAACGAATATTGCAGGACCTTACTTATACATGGAGTCTCAAAAAGTCAAACCCACAGAAGCAGAGAGTAGCTTGGTGATTGCCCGGGTTGGGGGACAGGCGGTTGAGGGTGGAGGTGCAGGTGACGGAGAGGTAGAAGATGTGGGTCAAAAGGTACAGACTTCCACTTATAAGATGAAATCAGTCCTGGGGGTTTAAGTCATAACATGGTGACAATAGCTAACCATTCTATAGCACGTACCTGAAATTTGCCAAAAGAGTAGATTTAGATTTCTCACCAAAAAAAATACCACCAAAGATATTTAATTATGTGAGGTGACGGATGTGTTAACTAGCTTGATTGTGGTAAGTATTTCACAGGTCATCACGCCATACACCTTGGATATGTAAGATTTTTATTTGTCAGTCACTCTCAATAACGCCAGAGTAAGGGTCTCCTGTAATAGGACTGGTGGGGAGGCTCAGATGTGTTTTTTTACAGTCTCCTCCTTATCAAGCTCTATTCTGGGCACGTCTGCACATGATTTCCTTATTTCTTCAGAGGAATTTTATCACGGAAAAGGACAGAGGCTCCCGGGGCTAAGCAGGAAGGGAGAGCAGTTGTGTTATCGGGGATAAGAGTGCATACTGTGAAGGCAAACTGCCCTCAGTCACTTATGCCTTTACCCATCCTTGAGAGAGCTCATGGAGCTCTCACACATGCATCTTCTGTGCTTTTATTTCATTTTTGGCTGCGCAGGGTCTTTGCTGCTGCGTGTGGGCTCTCTCTAGCTGTGGGGATGGGGGCTCCTCTCTGGTTGCGGTGCACAGGCTCCTCACTGTGGTGGCATCCTGTGGTGGGGCACACGCTAGGGGTCCGCAGGCTTCAGTAGTCGCAGCTCCTGGGCTCAGCGGTTGCACGGGCTCTAGAGCAGGGGCTTGGTAGTTATTTCGCTCCGACTCAGTTGCTCCTGGGCACGTGGGATCTTCCCCCATCAGGGATCGAACCCGTGTCTCCTGCACTGGCCGGCGGATTTTTTACCACTGAGCCACCAGGGAAGCCCTACTCTGTGTTTCTGAAAAGACACTCATTTAGTCCCCATGATGGCCTGATGAAGCAGGGCCTCCTATTATTCCCATCTCCCAGGCGAGAACACAGGCCCAGAGGGATTAAGTAACTTGTTCAAGGTCACACAGCGACAGGTTCAAATACAAACTAAGCAATGTTTGCACCAAATCCACATGATTTACTGCAAAAATGTGCTGCCAGTGTTTAAATCTACCTCCTGCCAGTTGCAGGACTATGGACCTCATGGGATCTACTGTGCCAAAAAAAAAATTATTTGTTGTTTATCTGAAATTAAAATTTAACTGGGAGCCCTGTTTTTGTTTTTTTAATTTTTACTAACTGGCCATGCCACAGGGCTTGTGGGATCTTAGTTCCCTGAGCAGGGATCGAAGCTGGACCCCTGCATCGGGAGAGCAGAGTCCCGGTCACTGGACCACCAGAGACGCTCCAGGTTGCCTTCTTTCACTTCAATCACGTGTTTGTGTATCTTTGGAAAAAAAACATGACACACACACAATAAATACTAAAGAAGGGGAATACTTGAAACTAACACAAGGTTGTTAATCAACTATCAGTTCAGTTCAGTTCGGTCATTCGGGCGAGTTCGACTCTTTAGGACCCCAGGGGCTGCAGCACACCAGGCCTCCCTGTCCATCACCAGCTCCCGGAGTTTACCCAAACTCATGTCCATTGCGTCGGTGATGCCATCCAACCATCTCATCCTCTGTTGTCCCCTTCTCCTCCTGCCTTCAATCCTTCCAGGCATCAGTGTCTTTTCAAATGAGTCAGTTCTTCGCATCTGATGGCCAAAGTATTCAGCTTCAGCATCAGTCCTTCCAGTGAATATTCAGGACTGATGTCCTTTAGGATGGACTGGTTGGATCTCCTCGCTGTCCAAGGGACTCTCAACTATATCCCCAATTGAAAAAAAACGAAAGCGCGCAAGTGTATCTTCTCATTGTGCAGCACGCACGGGGCGTGGGTTCCCACGAGGCCCTGGTGACTGGTCCCTTGCTCTCTCCCCCCAGGGCTGTGTCTGGGCCAGGGGATACGCGCTCAGGACGGTGAGTCCAGATCCGTCTTCCGGTTCAGCCAGCGAGAGGGCAGGAGCTGGGGGAGAGCCCAGGACGGGAGGGCTCTGTCGGAAGCTGAGCTCCGCTGGATTTGCTTCGCTTCCAGGTCCCCTGTCCAAGCCCTCCCTCCAGGCCCTGCCCAGCTCCCTCGTGCCCCTGGGGAGGCCGGTGACCATTCGCTGCCAGGGCCCTCCGGGTGCAGACCTGTACCGCCTGGAGAAGCTGAAATCCGGGAGGTATTTTGACCAGGCGGAGATCTTCATCTCGGCGATGGAAAGAGACCAAGCCGGCCGCTACCGCTGCTCCTATCAAATAGGGATGCACTGGTCCCCTCCCAGCAGCCAGCTGGAGCTGGTTGCTACTGGTAACGGGGTGGGCGTGGCTGGACGTTTAGGCTCTGGGCTCCGCGGTCCTCTGTTCCCGGCGCCAAGAGGGTGAGAGTGGGGGGTGATGAAGACCCTAAACCCAAAGTCCTGGAGCGAGGGCGGGGAGTGGGGATGTTGGGATTAGGGTGGGGCAAGCAAGACGTTGGCCTTGAGTGCCAAATTTAGGGAAACTGCCCAAAACTCAGTAACCCACACAAATAATATGCTAACGCAATATTAAAAAAAAAAAAAGCCACAAATCAATGCAAAAAATCCAGATGTTCACAATAGTACAATTTTAAATAAAGACAAATTCCTAGATTGTCATTCCAAGTCACATCCACGCCTGACATGAAAGGAAAAAATGTGCACCCCTCTAGCCACATTTATGCCTTAAAAAATATTTATTTTGTGGCCGCATCCTTGAGGCATGTGGGATCTTAGTTTTTCATTCAGGGGTACAACCACCTGGGCCCTTCAATGGAAAGGTGGAGTCTTAACCACCTTCTCTCGCTCCTCCCCCGCCCCCCCCCCCAGTTTTAGTGTTTTTCAATTGAAATATAGTTGATTTACAATGCTGTTAATTTCTTCTGTATAGCAAAGTGCTCCAGTTTTATATATATATTTAGAAAAATATTTTTTCATTATGGTTTATCATGGGGTATCGAATATAGTTCTCTGGGCTATACAGTGGTAGAACCTTGTTGTTTATCCACCCTACACATACACACTTACATCTGCTGACCCCGACCTCCCACTCCATGCCTCCCCCAGCCCTCTTCCTCTTGGCAAGCACCAGTCTGTGCTCTGCGTCCATGAGTCTGTTTCTATTTCACAGATAGGTTCATTTGTGTCATATTTTAGATCCCACATATAACTGATATCATATACGATTTGTCTCTCTGTCTGACTGACTTCACTTAGTATGATCATCTCTAGTTGCCCATGGCATGTTGTTGCAAATGGCATTATTTCATTCTTTTTGGTGGCTATGTGGCATTCCATTGTATATATGGACTACATCTTCTTTATTCGTTCCTCTGTCGATGCATATTTAGGTTGTCTCCATGTCTTAGCTCTTGTGAATATTGTTGCTGTGAACACAGGGGTGCATGTATCTTTTCGAGTTAACAGGGGTGCATGTATCTTTTCGAGTTAGAGTTTTGTCTGGACATGTGTCCCGGAGAGGGATTGCTGGATCATACGGTAATTCTATTTTTAGTTGTCTGAGGAACCTCCATACTGTTTTCCACAGTGGCCACCATCTTTAATACTAAAGTTCTCTCCTTTCCCAGGAACTTCCCCCAAGCCTTCGCTGTCAGCTCAGCCCAGCACAGCGGTGCCCGCAGGAGTGACCGTGACTCTACGCTGTCAGAGCCAGTATGGTTTTGACCAATTTGCTCTCTACAAGGAGGGGGACACCAGGCCCTTCAAGACACCAGAGAGGTGGTACCGGGCAGACTTCCCCATCGTCACGGTGACTGCCGCCCACAGCGGAATCTACCGATGCTATAGCTTTTCCAGTGCATATCCATACCTGTGGTCAGCCCCCAGCGACCCCCTGGAGCTTGTGGTCACAGGTCAGGGGTACAGACAAAACCTCTTCTCCAGCCTTGGCAGTCCCTGATGGAAGTTTCCAGGGGAGGGAGCACGGGAAGTTGGAGGCTTTGGAGGGTGTTTGAGTGTCTGGATGCTGCTGTAACAAGTGACCACAAGTTCGCTTGGCTTAAATTTCACAAATGTATTACCTTACAGTTTTGGAAGTCAGAAGTCTGAAATGGGTCCTGTGGGGATAAAACCAAGGTGTCAGCCAGCCTTCCTTCTGGAAGCTTGAGGGAAGAATTCATTTCTGGTGCCTTTTCCAGCTTCTAGAATCACCTGTATCTTGGCTCCCACGGTCCCTTCCTTCATCATCAAAGCCAGTTTCATAGCATTTTCTAATCTTTCTCTTTCTCTCTGACTTTTCCACCTTCCTGCTTCACTCTTAGGCTTTTAAGGACCCTTGTAATTGGACCCACCCAGATCATCCAGGATGGTCTCCCCAGCCCAACATTTTCTTTTTAAAAAATTTGTATTGGAGTATAGTTGATTTACAGGGATTCTCAGCTAGTGTGGTGCTAGTGGTAAAGAACCTGCCTGCTAATGCAGGAGATATAAGAGACTCAGGTTCAATCCCTGGGTTGGGAAGATCCCCTGGAGGAGGGCATGGCAACCCACTCCAGTATTCTTGCTTGGAGAACCCCCATTGACACAGAAGCCTGTTGGACTACAGTTTACTGGGTTGCAAAGAGTTGGACACAACTGAAGTGACTTAGCACACACGCACATGGTTGATTTACAGTATGGTGTTAACTTTAGGTGTACAGCAAAGTGAATGATATATATATATATATATATATATATATATATATATATACACACACACAGACATATATCCACTTTTTTACATTAATTGATAATTATTTTTATTTAAAAATTTTAGTTTATGTATTTTTTCTTTTTTTTTGGCTGCGCCTCTTGGCATGCGGGATCTTGGTTCCCTGACCAGGGACTGAGCTTGCATCCCCTGCAGTGGAAGCTTGGAGAAAGTAAAAGCCAGGAAAAAGAAATTTTAATACTGTTTTAATTTGAATGCCATTAAGAATGCCTTGTGATTGGTCTGGGTAAACAAGCAGATAGCAGGGGTAGTGGGAGAAGGAGGGGGCTGATTTGTTCCCTAGGCAGTCCCCATTTCTCCCCACATAGGATGCCTGTCCTTCTCTGGACCTAGTCCATGGTTTCTGCCTCCTCATCTGGTGCTCAGGAGACAAAAGCCACTTTTGTTCCCAGTATCTGTAAGATGGCAGGTCACAGGGATCCAGAAGAAGGGCCAGGACTGAAGTTTCGAAAGTAGGGAAGGCAGCTACAGGGACCGTCATTAATTAGCCCCAGAATGTGCTAGGTGTGCCTTTCAAATGCTGTGTAAGACTCACCACAGTCCAGTGATGGAAGCATCTGTATTTTTATTTTCTAGGTGAGGAAACTGGGTTTGCTCAGGAACCACACCTAACAGTGCACAGATTTCTCTCTCTTATTTTTCTCATTTCTCAGGGACCTCTGTGACTCCCAGCTGGCTACCCACGGAGCCAACTTCCACCATAACAGGTAGGTTTTGGAACATTCACCCTGTGTCTGTGGTATAAAGGCACAGGAACCCTGTTATCCTTCTCCTATTTGTCTAGATTTCTCAATTTACTTGGATACTGGAGTGGGTTCCATTTCCTTCTCCAGGGGATCTTCTTACATAATTACAGTACAACAGAAAAACCAGAAATCTGACATTGGCACAATATATATGTATAGTTCTATGTCGATTTATCACACAGATTCCTATATATAACTACCACTGCATTCAAAATACTATTCCAAGAGAAAAAAACAAAAAATGCTATTTCATCCTCATAAAGATATTTCTCAGGGTCCCCCCTTTATAGTCACTCCTCCTCTCACATGATCCCTAACCCCTGGCTAATTTGTTCTTCCTAGATTTATTTTGTCATTTTGAGACTGTTACATATAAATGGAATCATGCAGCATGGGACTTTTTGAGGTTGTCTTTCCCCTCCCCCCCTTATCATAATACTCTATGGACATGAGTTTGAGCAAGCTGTGGGAGTTGGTGATGGACAGGGAAGCCTGGCAAGCTGCAGTCCACGGGGTCTCAAAGAATTGGACTCGACTGAGTGACTGAATTGAACTGATCATAATACCCTTGAGATTTTTCCAAGTTGTTGCATGGATCAATAGTGCTTCCTTTTTCAAAAAAAATTAAAAAATTATTTGTTCTTGGCTGTGCTGGGTCTTCATTGTTGAATGGGCTTTTTTTCTAGTTGTGGAGAGCAGAGGCTACCCTCTAGTTGCGATACATGGTCTTCTTATTGTGGGGGCTTCTCTTGTTTCAGAGCACAGGCTCTAGAGCACGTGGGCTTCAGTAGTTGCCGCTCCTGGGCTCTAGAGCACAGGCTCAATAGTTGTAGCACACAGGCTTAGTTGCTCGACAGTATGTGTGATCTTTCTGGACCAGGGATCGAACCCAGGTCTCCTGCATTGCAGGAAGATTCTTTACAGCTGAACCAACAGGAAAGCCCCTACCCTCAGTATATACACTCAAGAAAATTAAAAAAAAAAGTGCATTCACACAGAAGCTTGTATGTGAATGCTCATATAGTAACAGAATTCACAATAGCCCCAATGTGGAAATAACACAATGTCCATCAGCGGATGAATGGAGCCATTTCTCAGGAAGCCACTCAGAAATTGAAGATGGTCTATCTTGGGCTTTCTGAGTTTGTCTTTCCTCTGTGTGTGTGCAGTGTGGTAGAGAAATGAGTTCCAGGGAGATGGGATAGCTCAGAAGGGGTAAGGGGAGTAGGGACTCACTGAACAGACCTGACTTTCTTATAATCCTTTCGCTTAGAATTCACAGAGGCCTCCAGGAAACTGAACCACTCGATTGCGAATGAAGCCGCCACAACGGGTGAGTAACCAGGCACTCAGAGCTCGCGCTTCCGTCATCTGAGGCTGTCAGCTTCCAGTCTGCTTCTCAGAACCACCTGACTCTTCCCACGAAAGTCCTTGGTTTGAGGGCGAGGGTGGGGTGGAGATGGTTTCTGAGCTTGGGGGCAGAGGAGCATTCTGGGTAAATGGCTGCTTCCAAGATGGCGGCACCGAGGCTACCATGGGGACACCATTACTTATCCCTACATGGCACTCTTCTTCTCCTTTTCTAAATTTACTTTTCATTGAAGGACAATTGCTTTACAATGACCTGTTGGTTTTTTCTGTACAACAACATGAATCAGATATACGTATGTCCCCTCCCTCTCGAGCCTCCCTCCCATCCCCAGCAGTGTGCTGTTCTGCTTTTTCTTTTGGACTTTCTGTCACTTACTGTGTTGCCACAAGAACTTTTCTACGTGGGTAGTAAGTTCTGAGTTTTTTTTTTTTTTAATTTGTTGGCTATTATACATGGGACCAAATGGGGATCAAACTCACGGCCTCTGCATTGGAAGTGCAGAGTCGGAACCACTGGACCCCCAGGGAAATCCCTTTCGTGTGCTCTTCCAACTTGGCTCTGATCCATGTGTGTAGCCTTGTTCCCATTGCTTCCAGGCCCGTGCTTCAACCCCACACAGATGGTAGTTTTTTTGACACAGTACATCCTCCAGTCCAGTGTAGTTATGTTTCCCTCATGCTGTTGTGCTGTTTGCCCTTGGCTTCCCCAGGGAGAGTCTCCTTTTCCTTCAAGACAGAAAACCTTGGCAGATTCCCTGAGGATAGTTAGCTGTCTCCATGGGGTCCACACACTTTCTTTAGGTTCCTGATGCTGGCAGGTTCTTTCTAAGACTCTGAGGAGATTCTTCCCCATCCTATGTTTAAAACCCTTCTTGGTTCCCAGTCACTCTCACGAGGATTGGTAAAACTGACCCATAGGTGTTAAGTCATTTGCCAGATGGTAAAGAATCTACTTGTAATGCAGGAGACCTGAGTTCAATCCCTGGGTTGGGAAGATCCCCTGGAGAAGGCAATGGCAACCCACTCCAGTATTCTTGCCTGGATAATTCCATGGACAGAGGAGCCTGATGAGCTACAGTCCATGGGGTCGCAAAGAGTCAGACATGGCTGAGTGACTAACATTATCGCTCTATCCACATCTAATAAGTGATGAGTTTGAGGTTCAAATCTGAACACTCTGACTCTGCAGTTCATGTTGTTTACTCGCTCAGTCACGTCTGACTCTTTGCAACCCCATGGACTGTAGCTGGCCAGGCTCCACTGTCATGGGATTTCTCAGGCAAGAATACTGGTATGGGTTGGCATTTCCCCCTCCAGGGGATCTTTCCAACCCAGGAATTGAACTCATTTCTCCTGCATTGGCAGGCATTTTTTTTTTTAAGCCACTGAGCTATCAGAGAAGCCCTTTGTAGTTCACACTCTTCTTATAAACCTGGAATTCTGCCTCTCAATGCAGCTGTTCAGAATTGGGGTAGAAACAGGGGTAGAAGAGATGGTTCCACCTCTTTACATTATCTTTTTTGATTCCCAGAAGCTTCTAGGAATATCACTGTCCTTCCAAAGGAATCGGACCCTCCAACTGGTGAGTAAGTGTCCTTCTCTGGACCAACTTCCTTCCCCCTGTAGCCCATGTCTTTACCCCAGACTGGCTGCTTTCCTTGCAAACAGGTTGCAGCTCTCTGGTCTTGGGTTCTGATGTGTCAGCTAAGAAGGGGAGGGGTATTGTTAGCAAATGGAGCTCAGAATTGGGCAAAGACCAGTGTGAAGGTGGAGATTATCTAAAAGGTCAGAGGAAGGGAAATTTCATCTCTGTCCCACCCCTTATGACAGTCTCCTCTTCCACAATCAGCCAAACAACCAGGGAGTGTCTGTGTGTGGGGAGAAGTTGTATCAGAGGACTGTGAGGGGGTGAGTGGAAGACGTGCTACTCAAAGAATGGGGCTTATCTAGTCCTGATGCTTGGTGAGGATGAGAGGAATCCTCGAGGAAGAAGGTTGGCATCCTTGCTTGTTATTCTTAGTTGTGTCTGACTCTTTGCAGCCCCATGGACTGCAGCATGCCAGGCTTCACTGTCCTTCACCATCTCCTAGAGTTTGCTCAAACTCATGTCCATAGAGTTGGTGATGCCATACAACCATCTTGTCCTCTGTTGTTCCCTTCTCCTCTTGCCCTCAATCTTTCCCAGCATCAGGATCTTTTGTAATGAGTTAGTTCTTCGCATCAGGTGGCCAAAGTATTGGAGTTTCAGTTTCCAGCATCAGTCCTCCCAATGAATATTCAGGGTTGATTTCCTTTAGGGTTGACTTGTTTGATCTCCTTGCAGTCCAAGGACTCTCAAGAGTCTTCTCCAACACCACAGTTCAAGAGGATCAGTTCTTCAGCATTCAACTTTCTTTATGGTCCAACTCTCACATCCATACATGACTACTGGAAAAATCATAGATTTGACTAGACAAACCTTTGTTGGCAAAGTAATGTCTCTGCTTTTTAAAATGCTCTCTAGGTTTGTCATAGCTTTTCTGGCTAGTGGAGAGTAATAGGTTTTCAGATGAAAAGTCTGGCTATGACAACTCAGTATGTGGCTTGGAGTGGGTCCTGGAGATGAGCTTTTTCTTTTTTTAAAGATTTTTTTTTCACTATTTATTTATAATTTTTACTTTTGACTGGGCTGGGTCTTAGTTGCAGCTTGAGGCATCTTTGGTGTGGCACGTGGTTTTCTCTCTAGTTGTGGTGCTTGGACTCAGTAGTCAAGCCTCACAGGCTTGTGGCATGTGGGACCTTAGTCCCCTGACCAGGGATCCAGCCTGCGTCCCCTGCATTGGAAGGCAGATTTTTAATCAGTGGACCACCAGGGAAGTCCCAAGATCATTATCTGTTGGTCCTTTAATGGACCAGAACCTGGTGGTCCGGAGTCGATGATAAGAAAGTAAGAGAAAGAGGCTGATATCCCCTGGTTTACGCGGAAAGCCCATAGAGTCCTGTTCTTAGGGCTGGCGCTGCTGCACATAGGCACCAGGCTCCCTCTCGAGTGGGTGAAGGCATAGTGCGCCTTCTCGAGAGGGTTTTAGAAGCCCGGGCAAGAAAGTGAGCTCAGTGGGTCTCCGTGCTCCAAGGAATTAGCCTGAAATAGAGAGAGACAGACAGAAAGAAAGACACGGGGACCCAAGCTCTGATGGAGCAAAGGTGTTTTGATCAACAAGGTGTGGGCATATATAAGGTAGTTATTCTCAGCAAAGATAAAGATTAAAATTCTAGACTTATAAGACCTAAGATGATCCCTATCAAAGAGAGAGTTGCAAACAATCACCTTTTACCGTTTGGCTCATAAAAAGGAGGAGGGTACTTATCACCGTAATGAGAAATTCCTGGATTCCTCAGCCCCGGGAAAGGTGTGCCTCTCCTCTTAATTCCTGAATACTCAGGAATTAATAAGGGTCAGAGGGTTCCTGACAGATCCAAAACAGCACACAGGGAGCCTCTTGTTAAATGCTTCCTGACAATTATCATTATTTTTTTTGGATATGGACCACTTTTAAAGTCTTCACTGCATTGCTTCTGTTTTACATTTTGTTTTTTTGTCTTCAAGGGATCTTAGCTCCCCAACCAGGGATCAAACCTGCACCCCTGGCAATGGAAAGCGAAGTCTTAACCCCTGGACCACCAGGGAAGTCCCCTTGGGGCTGGACTTTTACCATCTGCTCCTGTCTCTTCTTGTTCCTACAGGTCTTGCCCTCCAGCGCTACGCCAAGGGCAATCTGGCCCGGATATGCCTTGGGGCTGTGATTCTAATTCTCCTGGTGGGGCTTCTGGCGGAAGACTGGCACAGCCGAAGGAAACCTCCGATGATGCACCGGATCAGAGCTGCACACAGGCCGCTCCCACCCCTCCCGCAGACCCAGAAACCACAGGGTCGTCAGGATAGGGGTCGACCAGATGGTCACAACAGAGGCTTCCATCACTAGAATCCCAGACTTGGTTTTGTTTAAGAGATTGGTCGTGCGAGTGGGAGGGGACCTAGAGAGAGTGGACTATGAGAGCCACAGTCTACTCACTGTTGTCTTGCTCATTGCCTTTTTTTTTTTTTTTTTGGCCAGACTGCGAGGCATGTGGGGATTTTAGTTTTATGACCAGGGATTGAACCCATGCCCCCTGCATTGGAAGGAAGAGTCTTAACCACTAGACCACCAGGGAAGTCCCTCCAGATGGACTACTTTTTTTAAATTTTATTTATTTTTAATTGGAGGAGAATTGCTTTACAATGTTGTGTTGGTCTCTGCCATACATCAGCATGAATCAGCCATAGGTGTACACATGTCCCCTCCCTCTTGAACCTCCCTCCCACCTCCTACGCCTCTAGCTGTCGCAGAGCACCAGTTTGAGCTCCCTGCATCATACGGCAAATTCCCACTGGCTATCTATTTCACACGTGGTAGGATATGTGTTTCAGGGTTGCTCTCTCAATTTGTCCCACCCTCTCTTTTCCCCACTGAGGGTTGACTTCTGACATCACCCCCTCTCGCAGCTGACCCAATCCATCCTCTGCCCCAAACTCTCCCATGTGAACCCCTTGCCCACCTGCCTTGTGCTTTTTTTTTTTTTTTGTTAATTCTATTGACGTATAGTTAATTTACAGTGTTGTGTTAGCTTCTGGTATGCAGCAAAGTGAATCAGTTCCTGAGGTTCTTTCCCTTTCCCTTTCCCTTTCCCTAAACAACCAACACTGTCTTAAGCTACAGTCTGAAAAAACCCCTCATTCTTTCCTCTTTGAATATAATAATAACCAACATGTTAATGACTTGCTTTTATATTAGAAAAAAAGTCCAAAGTCCTAAGCTTACCCTGAAGGTTTGGATAGGTAAATCCATAGAGACAGAAGACAGACTGGTGGTTGAGAAGGGTTGAGGCAAGGAAGATTCTTGTTGGTCAGTTGCTCAGTCGTGTCTGACTCTCTGCAACCCCATGGACTGCAGCACACCAGGCTTCCCTGTCCTTCACTATCTCCCGGAGTTTGCTCGGATTCATGTTCATTGAGTTGGTGATGCTGTCCAACCATCTCATCCTCTGGTACCCGCCTTCTCCTGGTGCCTTCAGCCTTTCCTAGCATCAGGGCAATTACTGAATTGATGATTTTTTTCTTTTCTAGTTTTGCAGTGATGAAAATGTTTTGCAACTAGGTAGAAGTGGTGGTTTCATAACAAAGTGTACTAAATGCCACTGAGTTGTTCACCTTAAAATGGTAAAATTTTATGTTACATGAATTTCACCTTTATAAAAAGAAAACAAAAAACCCCCAGCCTTGCTCCCTGACATCCATCCCTGTCTGTGTGGGGTCACTTGTCCTAGGGAGGTTAAGTGACATAAGTCAGAAATACTTCCCTTTTATTGTTGCCAGACTGCGGCATCTAGCTGGGTGCCCTCCTGTTAAACCGAAGCCGCTCACAGTCTTCAGACGAAGTCCAGTCTGACTCTCCCATGAATATGACTCTGGTACACATCTGGGGTTCTAGCTCCTACCAGAGTGAGCCCCAGACCCTGACTTTGTTAGGGAACTCTCCGCCAGGAGCTGTGAAGAAGATTGGCAAGATCTGGCCCCTCCCCCAACACTGCCAGCCCCCAGGTTGCCTGCCTTCCTGGCGACTCTGAGCTCAGAGTCCTCCCCCAGTGCGCCCTCTGTGCCACTTGGGCTAGAGGAACTATCTAGAAGGAAGTTAAGGTTAGGAAGAAAAATTAAAAAAAAAATAGTGCTTAATAAAAAAGTAATTTTTATAGAAAATAACATTAAAAGGAATGTATATGTGTATATACCACCGAATCACTTTGTTGTACAGCAGAAATGAACACACCATTGTAAATCAACTATACTTGAATTTTAAAAAAGCAAAAAAATAAAGGTTCTAATAAAAAAGTAATTCTTGCACTGCTGCTTTAAAGAATTTGGGGATTCTGTGTGTCCCAAGGGAATTCTGGGGGCTGTAGGAGGAAGAGCTATGCATACCATGAAGTTCTGTTTTCTGTGGAATCATTAAATAATTAACACGGAATCATTAAACGTTAATCAGAGCAATGATGTGATCATACATGTGCTTCATGTATGTGTGTGTGAGTTGCTCAGTCGTGTCTGACTCTTTGCGACCCCATGGACTGTAGCCCACCAGGCTCCTCTGTCCATGGCATTTCCCAGGTAAGAAAACTAGAGTGGGTTGCCATTTCCTCCTCCAGGGGATCTTCCTGACCCAGGGGTGGAATTCTGGTTTCCTGCCTTGCAGGCGGATTCTTTACCTTCTGAGCCACCAGGGAAGGACACTGAAGCACCTAAGAGGACTGCAAAGTATTGTGGGGTTAGTAGGAGCAATACTCCAGTGAGGAAGACTTGTCAGGTGTCTAGCCACACAGATTAGAAATACCACATCTGGGCAATGACTTCGCAGGCAAATCAATGTGATCACCAACGTTTCTTTCCCATTCCCTCACCCCTGGGCTACGTTCTCCCTGAATAAAATATCTTTTCTCTAAGTTCAATTGGAATCCATTCATAAATAAGATTTCACTCATGAATGCTTTCACCTTTATTTTTCTTGATATACTCAAGACACAGACATTTCATCTACCACAGGGTTAAGCGATGAGTGTATGTTTTATGTAAACCGTTCAGCCATGGCTAAACTAACATCTGGCTCACTAACTAACATCACCGAGAGGATCTTGGTAAGTTCACTATCACCTTGATGATCTAGGACTTTACTGGAGAATGAATGGCTCCAGCGGGATTCAGAAAATGAAGTCATTAGAAGAAGGTCTGTTATCTTTTGGGTCTCGATGATCACTCTCAATAGTCAGCTGTGGGTTGCTTTCCTTCATTTCTCTCAGCAGCTTCTGGATTCCAGCATCAGATTCATCTATCTTCAACCTAGGAGGCAGAATGCAGGAGAGAGAACGTTTTCTTATTGCTTTGAGGAACTTCATTCCAAATGCCCAGGTGCCTGGCAAAGTTCATGATTTAGGAATTTACGGAGCAAGGGCCATCTGTATTGGTTACTGTATGCTGCAAAGTAGAGTTCCAGATCGATTTGGTAGGGAAAAAAGATGCTATTGGGTTAACACTGGTGGTGGTGGTGTAGTCATGTCTGACTCTATAGTCATGGGCTGTAGCCCACCGGGCTCCTCTGTCCATGGGATTCCCAGGTGAGAATACTGGAGTGGGTTGCCATTTCCTTCTCCAGGACATCCTCCCGACCCAGGATCAAACCCAGGGCTCCTGCATTGGCAGGCAGATTCTTTACCACTGAGCCACCAGGGAAGCCCTGGTTAACATTGTAATGGTATAAAGGCACTACATAGCTTTGGGTGCTTGAATGATCTTGGGTGATTATCATATCATGCTTGGCACTAGAGATGGAGTTGATGCATACCTCTGTGATGGCCATCTAAAACCTAACCTACTCCATAACACTGACAACTTCTTGGTGAATCCAGGATGAGGCAGACACACTTGAATCAAGTCACTGGGATTAGCTTTTTATCTTCCTTGGCTACGAGCTTCTAGATAACTACCACCCCATATGTGATCTGTGATAAGAGGAGTCTCATTTCTTGGATTTGCCTTTTAGTAACCATATTCAGTCATGTGTATGTGGAAATGTGGAGTGGGGAGGGAATAATTAAATTAAAATTACATATAAAAACATGAGACCAAGGATATTGGCTGCTGTGTTTCTGATTGGCATTATAGTCCCAATTATGCTGGCATATTAATCAAATCTTTTTTGTTGTTTGAGTTTCACAATATGTCCATGCAACAAAACTTCAATTAAAGATGAGTAAGTTCTGGGGGTCTCATGTACAGCATGGTGACTATAGTTAATGATACTGTATTATATACCTGATATTTGCTAAGAGAGTAGATCTTATGTGTTCACACCACACACACAAATGTAATGTGATGTGAGGTGATGGATGTGTTAATTACATTGATTGTGATGCTCATTCCACAATATATACATACATCAAAATATTACATTGCACACCTTAACTATATACAATTTTGTTAATTAGATCTCAGTAAAGCTGACAGACCACCCCTGCCCCCAAACTCCATGTACCCGGTCAACTTTAAGATAGCTTGAGCAGAAACCTTGTCAGCAATCAATATAACTTTTGCTAAAATATAGGCTAACTAGCTTCAGAATATTTAAAACATGACCCTTTAAGGTCAAACATAGTTGTGTCTATTCGTGATTGTCAGAGGCTGGTCATAGTCTTTGGTAGAAAAACAAAAAAATAGTCCCACAGATGACCTGTGTGTGGTTGAAAGTGTTGAAGGAACCAGAAATGGGGTGTGAACAACAGGTCAGAAGATACAAATATGTTACTCTAAGAATGAGGATGGTGCTGGAGAAGATGCTTGAGAGTCCTTTGGACATCAAGGAGATCAAACAGTCAATCCTAAAAGAAACCAACACTGAGTATTCACTGGAAGGACTGATGCTGAAGCTGAAGCTGAAATACTGATGTGAAGAGCCAACTCACTGGAGAAGACCCTGATGGTGGGAAAGACTGAGGGAAAAAGGAGAAGGGGGTGGCAGAGGATGAGACGGTTAGATAGCACCACCAACTCAATGGACATGAATTTGAGCAAAGTCTGGGAGACTGTGGAGGACAGAGGAGCCTGGTGTAGTGCCGTCCATGGGGTTGCAAAGAGTTGGACATGACTTAGTGGATGAACAACAACAAAAGCCATTAATTGTCTAGGTTGCATTTGAGGATTTAAAAGAGTTCCCACACTCTTGGGAAGAGTTTTATGATTCTTTGTTACCACAGTAGCAAATCAACAATAGAGCAAGAACAATAGAACAGTGAGCAAGTAGAAGACAACCAGTTGGTGATAGCTTCTACGATCATAGATTACTTTGATTAGACAGCAAACTCACTCCAAAGAACATGCTTCTAAGCCTGACATGGACCC